TTATTATTATTATTATTATTATTATTGTTCTTAGGAAAATATTATCAATAAAAATTGTTTTTCAATTATTCTTATTAATTTATATTAAATTTTCATGTCGATTTTTTACATATAAAAGCTATGTTATTAGCTTCAGTCCATTGAATATGTTTTTTTTTTTCTTTTTAATAAATATATAACTATCTTTACATATGTATATGTGTGTTCATTAGTATATTAAATTAATTTATAAATATTATAATACAAATTATTGTAATGTGCAAACTGTTGATTTAGAACCGGGAAAATGTGAATGAAAGGAAATTGGATTGTGTCTCTTATTAGGAAATCTTTTTACAACCTTATGAATCGTGTTCATATCCACGGTGTCTCCTATTTCAGCGATTATTATTGGTTTATGAAAATCTTGATCATTTCTTGATAATCTTACACCTAAAACTTGTGCAGCCAGACTTACGATACACAGGGAAACCTTGAAAACATACAAATATCTACGTTGAAATTACGCGCCGAAAAAGGGTAACGTTGCGCGTCAAAGTTTGGAGCGAAAATTTCAAAGTATGGAAATGAAATTACCGATTCACCAGTTCTAGCAGACATATCGTAATATGGAAATCCATTTTCTGCTGCATAACGATGCGATTTATCTTTTTTAACACTTCTCTGATGTTCCATGTCACATTTATTACCTATTAATGCCATTAAGGGTGCCTCTTCTATACTTTCGCTCATTCCTCGAATCTTATTGGTCCATTCGTCGAGTATTTCAAAACTCGATGAGTTTGTTATATCGTATACCAGAAGAATGATCTACATTAAACGAAGAAAATATTTTAATCGTTTGTTTATTAACAGATAATTACATATAATAAATCATTATTATTAATGTTTTTAATAGTATTACAAAGTCTTACGTTAGCTGCAAACACGTATTTGTCTAACATGGTGCCATGAAGAGCAAGTCCTCCGACATCCCATAAGTGTAGATTAACATTTTTATAAGAACCAACGGTGATATTTTTTAAAAAGAAATCAATACCAGCTGTTGGAGTATATTGTCTCGTAAATTCGTTGGTACAAAACTTCAAAGCGATGCTCGTCTAAAAAGGGATCTTTTAATTTCAATTATCGAGAGTAAAATATCATATCATTGAATTATTTATATTACTAATTGTGAACATTAATTTCTAACTTAATTGTTCAAGTCATTGACGCGTGATATTCAAAATTAAATTAGAACACACTCTTCTATTAGTTTAGATAACAAATAATAAAAAGAATAATTAATTTCATTTCAAATTATATAATCTATCTTTCTTTTTTTTTTTTTTAAATTAAAAAGTTAAATTTCGTGTAAACTACATTTCCGATCGATAATTCTTATTCATCAGACGCGGGAAATTTTAAATGAAATTAGAACGTTTATCGACCGAGATATAAGATAAGGTACAAGACTAATCAATTTTATCTACGATTATCCTATCCCGTTAAAATAATCAATACTTTACTCCTAACAATAGAATTTCTCGTGTAGACTGCATCACCAATCGATAATTTCTATTTATCTATTTCGATCTAAAAATGCCACAAGTTGTTTAACATTTCATGCAAGTATTATTAATGACATGACAGAAAGTTCATGAACGTTGAGGTCTTATCGATTGGCCATTTACATATATGTTTTATTTATTTATTACGTTGATAAAATATTGTTATTATTATTATTATTATATTTTTTTTATTATTAAAATAAATAATTATTTTCTTTTCCTTTTTATATATTATATAGATAAATAAAAACTTTTTAATTTAAAAATGTATACGATTATTATATATTATATATGAAATTTATTATTATGTTTTTCTTTTTTAAATATGCATATAGAATAGAAAAACTTTTGAAAACTTACTTTTCCAGAACTGGAATCACCGAGGAGAACAATTTTGAGTCGCCTCTCGGCAAGATCCTCTTCGATGTCGGACATAGATCGAATTCGATGAATTATAGACGAAAAGTAAGTTGGATAAAATTATTTTCGAATTCATAGGAAAGAAAGAATAAAAAAAAGGAAATCAAATGGAAGCAAAAATATACGAGGGATATTAAAGTATGGCGTAGATTAATAAACGCGTTTTAACTAATTAACTATGGCGTCGTTCGTGTTCGCGTCGTTCGTACAAAACTTGCCAATAAAAATTGAAAGAGAATCAACCGAGAGTGGCCAGTACGCGTCGTCGTCATCGACATTATGTCGTCCTTTCCTTGTATTCACCACTGCCCAGTATGAATAAATTAACAAACAATCGATAACAAAGCACCACACAACTTACGTATAACCCTCTCTATACGTATATCAAATCCCCATTTCGATTTCTTTATTTTTTTCTCATTTTGTTTCATAAATTTTCCCTTTCTTTTTCTATTTCATTTTTTTATCCATCAGTTTCACGTATTTCTACATTTTTTTATTTTTCTTTTTTATATCGCCTCAAAGAAAAGATTTCTTTTATTGCTCGCAGTTTATTATTTTATACGTTTTTTTTTTATTATATTGACCGATTCATTTAGTTTTCATTCCATTATAATTCTTTCAAACTTACGAGCAGCACGTATTTCTATAGATTTTTCTATTATTTTTTTTATTATTATTATTTCTGTTTTTTTTTTATATATATATTACGTTAGAGAAAGACTTATTTCGTTTTGGGTATTTTATTTTATACAGGTTTTTATTTTTAAAATGTTTTATTCTTCATCTGATAACTCCGAATGGCATTTTTTGTTTTATTAACACATTAATTAGAAATTATTCCTCGAAGATGAAAAGAAAATATGTAAATTTTCGCGAGGATTTATTGATTTCGATATTTTAAATAATTACCATCTTATTAATAGTTGCCAATTGTTGGTAACTTCGTCCAGTCGATAATAAAGAAATTCACTATGTCCAATGACAGTAACTGCTGGTAATTTATTATGGTGATTAAATTTTTTGTACAGTTTATAAAATGACAAATCGGATAACTTTTGACGGATATCCTTCATATAATACTTTGCGCAATACTTAACTCCTAGGGAAAATGTTACAATAATTTATAATTATTTACACAATAATTTACAATAATTTACAGAGCTGATAAATTAACTATAAAAGAAAAAAAGAAAAAAAAAAGATGGACTTATGTAAACGATAAAATTAATATTATAAATTGTCAAATGGTTCACTCGCGATTTCAGTTGAAAATCAAATCTTTGTAATTTTGTAACAAATAATAATTCGATACTCGGCAGCAAGTAGTCGTCCTAACAACCGTCAATCTATCAGCACGTTCGAAATTAGCTTTAACAATCTCGTAATATCTTCCATCGCTAAAAAAAAAATAGAAAAAAGAAAAAACAAGAAATACATTTATTTAGAAATAATTTTATCTTTATTTTATTATTCCGTATTAGCTATTCTACGTACCTCAGAACCAAACACTTGAGTTTGATGCATTTGACTCGTAAAATGTCAATAGCTTTTTGACTCTTATCGGAAAATCTTAAATTTTCTGGATCCCAACGTAGCTCGAGTCGTTCCAAATTTGGACTATTATTTGCGATTCCATCCATTAGCTGGTCTACGTGAATATTAACGCCAAGTCTTTCATTGGTACCCATTACGAGAATTCTACAATTAATGTTAATTCGAGGGTTTATATATAAACTCATTTTATCGTCTTATAACTCAGTGATTTTCAATCATTATTCTCTAAAGACACACCCGCGTAACTTGTCATAAGAATATTTGAACGTGTTACAAAATTTGTGGACTCAGTATAGTTAAGAATCACCGTTACGTTAATCGTTGTCAAATTCTATTGATTCGCAAAATGAAAATCTCACTGTCATATATCAATATTTCGAAATAATTAAAATACAAAATAGAATATTCCTTACTTGGCATTAGTGAGAATAGGTAGAACACTTTGCCATAGTTGATCAGTTATATGCGGCATCCCAGCCAATGAAATACCCCAAAGTTGATGACCATGTCTCGACAAGAATTTGTGTAAAGCATCGTCGGTTAAATTGTCCGAACTGTCCAGGTTCAAAGCTATCAAATTTCGTGGATTGCCGGATTCTACCCATGCTTTCAAAACGCTGTCATTGAACCCATTTAATTGGCCGGCACTGAGAAAACGAAGACCAGGGATTCTGGTCAACATATCGATCAAACAATCAGTTGATAAATCCGTTGCTGTTACGTCAAATTCTTGGATACTGGACTTCTCCCATTCGACCTGCATAACGTAATCGCTTTGTAGATCTGAAAATACGATCAATCTTGATAATTAACAAATGATCGATATGATAACATTCAAAGCAAAATCTCATCTAATGTGCTGACTAGTTTGTTTTAGAAAAATGATTCCCAATATTTGGAATGATTAATTGGACATGTTCGTTCACGAATTGTTAGGATTTTTTATTTGAATTTAAAGTTTTAGTTACTGAACTAAAGTAATGTAAACGATTACCTAACATTTAACATAATAATAAATGTTAACATTTAGAACAGCAAATCACAAGGGATTGGAACTTCTGATCATCCATATTCAAATATGAAACATATAATATAACAGTGTGAATTTCTTACTTGTCCCTTGCATAAGAAGACATTTCAATCTTCTGCTACGTTGGAATAGCGTTTTCATGGTTGAACCAGTGACCTTGGCACAAAAATTCACTGCCAGACACTCCAATTGTATGCAATTCGAGGAAAATGCATCTATATGGGAATCATCGACGAAATTGATACCGTACAAATTGATCACTCGCAAATTAGGAGTCGCTGATTTTAATTTGTGAACGTTTATCACCTCGTAAATTTCTTCTTCCTCTTCCTCGATTTTCTCGTAAGTGCCTGCCGAATTTATAAATAAATTGTTTTCTTTTTTTTTTTCTTCTTTTTTCATATAAAAAGATAATAGAACAGTAAAAGTAACGTACCAATCAAATGAAGGATTTCCAAGCCATTGATGAAATTATAAATTTTTCTCATGAAACCTTCCATAAATATGACTTCTGACAGACAGATGCACATGTATTTAAGTTTCGTCGGGAATGCTTGCATCTCTGAGAAATCGTGGAGTTGCATGGCAGTAGAAAAATCAAGGAGCATGTGAGTCAAATTTGGACACTTGTTTGCTAACTCGTGTAAAACGGTGTGAGTGATCAGTTCTATCGGTAACTCGATGTATCTTAATGATGCACCAAAACGTACGCTGTAAATTTATTAATAATTTATTTATTTAATTTAAAAAACAAAAAAGTCAAGAGAAAGAGAAATAAATTAATTAAAAATCGGACATGCCGATACGCATGAGAAATAAATATAAAAAATGTTATTCCTATTTTAATATTTGGCATCGTTCAACAAACGATATTACGTCAAACTGTAGATTGTTTTAACCAATAATATATAAGATTATTCTAACCTTATTAATTGAAGTAAACTTTCGAGTGATCCAACATGGAGTCCACTGATTTCCGGTCTCAACGATACGTGTTTCCAAAGACGCGTGTCGTACGCTATTTGCCGCCATTTTTTACAAACCCTTGCGACCTTGCATATCTCGCGATGTGATAAATAACTAAAGACATTTAGTATCACCTTGTCTGGCAGTTTTTCTATCGTCTAAAAAAAAAGAAAGAAAAATGATTACTTAATGAACAAAAATAAAAATACTTTTAATTAGTAAAAAAAAAAAATATCTAAGAGATTAAATATTCTAATGCAAATAAATATAGCTTAAATTAATTGCTAAACACAATTCCTAAATATTAGAAGCATAATAATATAATAAAAAATTTATTTTTCTACAAAAATAAATAGAAAAGAAAATGAGTCGTTTAATTGTCGTTTAATTTTCAAGACCAATTTTGTCGAACATTGTTAACAACTTACGGTGGCTGCAAAACGACTTTTAATAACACCACCTTCGGAAACGAACATCTGAGACGTTTCCACGGCGATCTGACCCCATACATCTACACCTCCTAGATCCATGGTGATATATTTTCTTTATACGATATCACAACTCGACAAAAAATATAAATTAAAAAAAGTAATATAAAATAAAATAAAATAAAGAAAAAAACACCTCGCGAATAAAGAAAAAAAAATCCAATATAATACCAACAACAACAAAAAGGAAACAGAAGAAAAATAAAAAACCTCGAACGTTTTCTCTAACTCGATTGTTTTATTAATTAACTTTAAACAAAAAAAATATATCAGCGATTTCTTTTTATATTCTTCTTTTTCTTTTTTCTATTTTCTTTTTTTCTTTTTTTATTCAAGTTCAATGTCACAAAATCACACTTAACGTTGGGAATTCGAAATAGATTTTTTTTTGTTGGTGGGAGGGGGGTATGTGCGTGTGTGTGTAGGTGGAAACGAAGTAAGAATATTTCTTATTATCGTCGAAATTTTGTTGATTATCCGTCACGATTGAAGGCTATGGGTAAATAAAGCGGGGTAGGGGGAAATTCGAAAGTTAGCACCAAATTCTTGAGGAAAAATCGTGAAGAAAATCGTGAAGAAAATCGTGGCGCGAGACTCGATTTGCGTTTCTGCGGAAACCACAAGTCTTCTTCTCTGCCCTTTTAATCCGGATCGCGCACGCGCGTTGTCCTAAATATAAGACACTGCTAGAGTCTCGCTTCCACTTTATTTTAGAATCCATTACCTGTTCCCACCGTTAACGTGCCAACGTTTCTTTCTGTTTCGCATTTATTCGGACATTTTCTAATGTTTATAATTAATCCCAAAATGTTAATTAAAGAGAGAAAGAAAGTATAAATTTATTTATCAAAAAATATAATTTTTACTACGTCAAGGTGGGGTACCCAAATTAAAACGTTATATAGTATTTTATTTCGTTTCAATCTAATTTTCAAGTAGTTTTTTTTGTTTAAATAAAAGCCTATATTTTTTATCAGAGCGTATGTATTTTATTTAAAAACGTAACAAAATAATAATAAGAAAATTAAATAACTTTAGTGTGAATTATCATCTAATGCCAAATGATCGTGCGAATTTACGAGTCCTATTGTACGATAAAATATGATGACGTTTACTGTTGCCATGTACTTTATGACTTTTATATTTCTCAACGATCATAATTCATAAATATGAGGTATATTATGTATTATCAATAAAGTGTTAATTCAGTTAATTGTTGATAAATAATTGACTAGAACCAACGTAGCTGATAGAACGTGAGAGACAGACAAATAGTTGGCTAGATTTCAACAAATTGTAGCAGCTGATCGGAATGTCGAAAATTTGATATCTCAATTAATAATTAATTACAATAATTCAAAGTAAATCTTACATTCATAAATTTGTAGGACGGGTTGAAAGTTTTTTAGATGATTTTAAAAATCAATTATTTTTTTTATTTTCCCAAGACTATTTAGGATAATATATTTTTCAAATTAACAAAACGCCAACCCTAACTGCGAGTCTAAAAAATTAACATAAGAAGGATTAATCGGATGTTTTAAATCAACTAAAAACTTTCATCCTATTGCGTATATTATATATATATATATATAATAAGAAAACATGTTTAGCTATGTATATATATATATACATAATATTAGGTTAAGTAAACCCTTAAAAGTGCATGACGACATACATTCGAACGGTTTCCTTATTTTCCAATACAATTTTATATTAAATTCATTCCAATTAGTTTTTTATATATCGATTTTATTATCTATACTTTTAATCGTGTAGAACATCGCCATTTTGAAATCAAAAATAACATGGAAGATGAATTTAACCTCGAAATTTGATTTTAATTTCATAAATTTATGATACGTCCAATTAATAATGACGATAAATTGAAATAAATATAAAAAATAAATATGTAATATTGTTTATGAAATATGTTAAGTAATTTTGGAGATAATTATTTATTGGTCTTTTTTTTTTATCGAATAAAAAAAGTAACTGGGGTGGTGCCTAAGAATGACTATTCGAACTTCATTTGAACTTGGCATGAACTTCACTCGAACTTTTTTTTAACATTCTACCTATATAATACAGTTTATTTTATAATTATAATATAATTAAATATTTGCAGAATAATAATATAGTACACTAAACCGTATAGAGTAAAATAATAAAATATTTAAAAATATTAT